ATAACAATTACAAAATCAATTTCAGATTATCTGTATAATCAAAAATCATTTTGATTGATAGTAACCATGTGCCATGATTTGGAGCACATGACTTAATTGTAGATGATGCAAATCTATATATATTCACGGGTGAACATGTAATAATTTTGTCACAAAATGATAAGCAGACTGAATTATGCAATGTCTGAATTCACTATTGGTTTGTTTTCTATTAATAAAAAGGAATCCTATGATTGTTTTTTGTTTTGATTAAATGAAGATTTATATTGTTTAAAAATTGAGCAAAACAGGACTAATTTGCAACTGAAAAAGATTGAATGGTAATATTTGAAACTTTGATGAGACTTTGCATTCATCAATCAGGTGAAAAGGAATCCAATGATTTTTTTTTTTTTCCCCATTGCTTCAAAAAATTGAAAATTTGACTCATTAAAATAGATAAAATTTTATATTCATTGGTGACTATGGTACGTGACAAATGATAAGTAAATTATATCATTAAACTATAAATAGAGGTTAGTCAAATTTATTACAGAGATCCCGAATTTCATTATTGACTTTTTATTTTATGATGTTTGCATTCAAGAACAAGGTAAAACGAAAAAAAAAACACAATCATGGTGATCTCTGTTTCCATTAAAAGAACCCTTCTCTATTACTAGAAATTAATTGAAAATGTTCTTCTCATACAAAATGTGGAGATGGGGGAAACAGGACCAATTTGGATGTGAAAGACTGGAAAATGTGAGTGTGAAGTCATTCTCATTACAAATCTTTCCCATGGCCAATTAAAGATTAAACAAAAATCTATTTTCAGCTTCTGCATTTCATCAAATGGCATTTCAATTGCTTCACATCTGACTGTTTGAGGGGCTTCAGCATGAACATCTGAGCACCTTCCTCTAAGCACCTGTTCACATATAGTGAAAATTTCACTATTATTTTTTAGAATATGGGAAAAAGAATTTGAACCCGGTTGAGACGGCACCAATTATTGAATCAAATGTTTGGAATAAAAAGACTTTCAGGGAAACTTACTGGCTAATGCGAGTTGGGCTATTTTCAGAGGACATGATTACTACAGGAACCTCCTTCAGAACTGATGATTCCTGTTTTTCATACCATAGACCATAATTGCAAATGGTGAGAAGTCAATTAATCCTGAAAAGGGTACTTAGAAAAATGTTTCAGTACCTTAATTTTCTTTAGCAGCTCATACCCTGTCATTCCGGGCATGCAATAATCTGTTATTATTAGATTGACCTTTGAGACCTGCAGATGGACATGGAAACACAATGTTAGGAAAATCTCTTGTCAAAGTTTAGGAAAGAGTTTTGCAAAGGGAATGTTATGTTACTTACAGTGCCCTCCAGGGTACTCCTCTGATCATTTCCCAACCCCAAATATTCCAATGCCCTCAGCCCATTCTCTGCGGTAGTCACTGCAGCAAGACACAGGAAATATGTTAGAAGTTCTTAACACATTCTTAGTTACAGAATGGAAAGCAAGAAGAAGAGAGAGTGAATGTACCTTTGCAAGAGGAGTTCCTGAGCAACTTCTCCACCAGTTTTCTGTCGATGAGGTTATCATCCACTGCTAAGACATGGGGTTGATCTCCAAAATCAGCCGCCGTGTCCTTAGAACAGCCGCCACCCGCCATACTTTGAAATCTTCTTGCTAAGCTGTAGTCTGATAATGAATAGGGCAGTATTCCAGGCTACTCACAAACATCAACATTACTGATATAAAAGCTAAGCAGGCAGGCAGTTGCCCTGTGTTATATAATGTAACAGAAAACAAAAAAGCTGGTGCACTAAAAAGGAGTTGGTCATTAATACAAGAGACCAATAAACAAGCTCACAAGAGATGTATGAATGTAATGAGAGATTGTATTTATAGAGAAAACTGAAGGTTGGTGGGGAGGAGGAAGGTGGAGCCCTTTGAGGAATTTAGAAAGGGTATCAGAAGAAAACAAATTCATAGAACCAAAAAATCATTAAAACCAAAGTATATCACAGATATTTCGTGATCCTTCTTGGGGTTCTCTTGGATTTGATTCAGTCCCCCTTCATTGCTTGTTTTTCTTTGTCTCTCTCTCAAAACAAACACTGCCAATCTCTTTTTCTTTCTTTATTAATTTCACTACAGAATCATAATCAGTATCAGTATCTTCAATCCTTTTCTGCAGGATCCTTTCCTAGGCTGAATTGGACCACATCACATTTAAGAACTAACTTAAATGCATATTCACTTTTCTTAAAGATTTCCCACCACAGTTTTTTCTTTTTTATTTTTCATTTATGGCATGTTATGGTAAAAAAATATTTTACACGAATTACTGGTATTATATTGATTTTATAGGATACGAAGAGGGTTTGGTCTACCAGATCAGAGCACTGGGGAAAGATCCAATCTGATCACCATAGAATCTGGGTCTGCCTCTACACAGATATGCAGAATAAAAATAACATAAAAGAAATTCCTCATGTAAAGGATTGGGAACATGTTTTCTTGGGGGAGTGGGAAAGAACAGAATCATTGTAAGTTGATGATGTAGTTGTACGGATCAATTACAATCATTGGTCAGAAACAAACAATATCCAAAGCGATTGATTTTCCTTTTCTTTTTTCTCTTAATTTTTTTTTTTTTAACTTATTTGATTTCTCACCATCAATCATGGTCCATTCCATTAAAATCAAGAGAAACTGGGATCACCCATTCGTGAAGAGATTTTCAGCTTTAAAAATTCATTTATCATGTGGTATATATGATGTGCTATGGGTATGATAGAATTACTTATAATATATTGATAATGTATCGAATATAAATCTATGATCAAAACACTTTTGATTATGATTGTGGGTTTTTTTTAATACGTTAATACTTAATAGTTATAACTATATTTTTAGTATATATGTCAACTTGTAACCTATGCTATGAGTGGGTTCCACAACTTTGAATTGGTCTAATTGATAGAATAATCACTATTTGTTAAATGAGATGATATAGAAAAGGAATATTAATTAAAGTTGCTCCTTTTGTTATTTTTCTGTATTTATAATTTTGAAATGAGAAAGAAAATGAAAAAAATCGTTTACGAAAAAAGATTCGATGAGTAATTATTTTTTATATATATATATAATTCAAGTTTTAATTATTAGAGTATTTTTTGTACATATACCGGATTTTTTTTTTTCAATACCCAATTTTTTTTGAAAAATGATTTAATACTTTTGTTGGTTAATTAATAATCCATAGAAGCTTAAACATTTCGGATTCGAGTTTAGGTTAGTAACTCTTAACTTGAATATGAGAACACTCAAACTCAAGTAACATAAAAAATCTAATTTAATTTTATAACTTGATCAATTCAAGAAATTGGATTACAATTAGCAATAATAATGGGGGGGAAACCAAATAATCATGGCAGTCTTCTACCTAAGTGGGCATATTCCTTCCACATTCATCCCATACTTAGGTAGTTCATGAGCAGCTTCATTTCCTTCATCAGCAACCAATTGCAGAAGAGTGAGGATCAAAGCTTTTTAATGTCTTCCCTACCCTCAATGCATTTCCTTCAAGGATAATTCTTGTGATCAATCCTATTTCCCAATGCACACTACTCCAAAGCTTTTACAACTGCAAGAACCTAAAGGGTCTGTCACACATTTCACTTTGGCAGAATGAGCTGCAGCCAAACCATAGCCATCAACATAACACATAAACAACATCCAAACCTCCCACTTTGTCACTTGAAGGTGGTTCCAATTTTCCTTTGTCTCTTTGGGAGAGCAATCTGATCTTTCCCTGTGCCTGCTTATACTCTTCCTGCCTGCTTATACTCTTCCATGTAACTCCTACCAAACTTTTGCTGTTATGTGAAGACTTTTCCTCTATTCACCATGCAGTTTTCACCATTTCAACTGGACCATTTGAATTAATTTTTTTTTTTTGTATAAATAAGTTGAATTTTTTTTTTTTGAGCATTTGACTTATTGATTGATACATCATCTTTCTATTCAAAGAATTAAACTCAAACCCTTACTCAAATCCAAAAAAAAAAAAAAAGTTGAGCTAATTTACCACGTTGATCCAACTCAATTTACAGCCCTACTCACTCCCATTCAATGCCAGGGCAACATCTTGACATTAAAGTCTCTGATGAAATCCCTGGGAAGACTCTTTCCTCTGCTGCTGGTGTGGGCCTTTGGAAAAATAATTCAGTTGAATTCTGCAAACAAAATCTAATCAGATTTTACTCCAAGCAGAGAGATGAAGAGCCCCCTCATAGGGATAGGGTAGCCTTCTGTTTCTATAGGATATGCATTTCTATTAAATCCTATTGCTAGATTACCTGATGACTTTCCCCTTAGCAGAAATGCAAGGTGTTTGTCATAAACCCCATAACAGCAATGTCTCATGACATCAATGTCATACATGTGCAAGGATCCCATGCAATGTCTAGCCAGAAAAGTAAACCTTTGAAAATGTTTTTTTGGATTAATTATATATTTAGTATCTGAATTAAAATGAAATTCTCGATTTAATACTTAAAGTTTAAAAAATCGTAATTACGTATTCGAAGTTTGCTTCCATCCATCAATTTACACACAAAATTAACACTGTAAATCAAATGAATGGCATACTCAAAACATTCAATAAAATTACCACATTTGACATGTCGATACTAATTTTTTGAGGCAAGTGGCACATTTGGCTAACACATCATATAAATTCAAGTACTTAATTATACACTTTTATCTTTAAATACCTAATCGAAAATTTAACTTTAATTTGGATACTAAATATATGTAATTAAGATTTTGAAGTACTGTTGCTATGTACTTCCAATAGTTACTGACACCCCATGAGCCATCCATCATGTAATGTTCACAACTTCACATAAATTCCACAAGCATGATGGGCCAGGGATCAGAGGTTTCTGATGTATTCATAAACAAGTTTAACAATCAGGATTGGAGCTGGTTTAGACTACAACTTTTCTTGTTAAACTCTCTGTATTACCAGATTCAAATTAAATGTAGTAGCAACAAAATCTTTTCATATAGATTGTGACAGCAACATACACTGATTTAGACCATTCAAAGATATAAAAAAAAAAGAGCTGCATTTTGCACGGTCTCATCTTGTTCCAGCAGCAAGTAGCACTGACCCCCTGAGAACTTTGCAAGCAGAACCTCCGAACAGTAACCTATATTGTTTTGTTGTGGGTTCAGTCATCTTTTATTGTCTTCATTTGATGCTTGCTTTAGGAATGGAGGATGTGCATGGCCCAGCTGAGGTCATGAACGGAATGCCCTTAAATGTGGCCACTCCCTTCTCATCTGTGAAAAGATGCTGCAGCACAGACAAATCCCACAGTCATACATGCAAAACCGGAAGCAAACGTAGAGCAGGCCAATAACAAAACCGAAAGTGATGACAGAAATCGGGCACATAGATCGAATCCCCATATTCAGAAAAGTGCAATAATGAAGAGCATGAATGGAGATAAACCATAGTTAAAATCATTAGCCATTTTCACAACCCGTGATAAAGCATCACCGAGAATCCAAGCGATGAGGTAAAAGGAATCCACAAACCAAAACATGGAAAACATACCGGTGTTATTTTCTCCAACTGCTTCTTCTTTGGATTTAGGACATCTCCTGGCTTTCCATCAATCCTGAATAAAAGAATGACAATGTTTTGCATGTGAGATACATGTGATGATACCAGGAGCAAAAACTTCATCTCAAACAACAGAAACCTATCTCAAAGCCAAAATATGTGTAAACGGGGAAATGGGGAAGATGAAAGATACAAGCACCATAATGGGAACAGAGCCATCTGCAGGTCTCTAAAATATAAGTGAACTAAACTAGCACCCTTTATGTCATAATATGTGCATGAGATGCTGAATCAGTGGTCCTTAACTAGACCTAACAGTGTCCTGATGTCCTGAGAAATAGCTGAACAAGGACTGACAAAAAATTAAGCAAGCTTAAGCAAAAGTGTCTATTAATTGCAATAAATAACTTTCACGTTCTTTCAAATAATCTCACACAAAAGCAAGGCTATGAAATGTCTGTGCAATAAATATTTTAATTTCTATGCAACTCACAACATGCTTACCCTGAAAATGAAACGCCCTCGCCAGGTTTAGCCCCTTCTGGGGGAATTAAAGGCTCTACAACGGTGTGGTCTTCATTAGAAGCACAAAGCACCTGAAAAGGGGAAGATTACAAACATGAAAATAGATCAACATCATGGCTTCAAAATATATAAGAACACAAGTCACAAACTAGCTCTAGTTTCAGAGATTGCAAACTACCATAGGTTCTGCTCAAAGAAAAACAAAAATAATATCTACAGATGTACGCATACTAGATTTATCTTGTGACAAGTGTAAGCTCATTTAAGAATTCAATGGACTGACTTTAAGGGAATTGTTCCAGAGAAAAGCAAACAGAATTCAAGGAATCACATCAAGTTTTATACTCAAGTCCTGTTGTTGCTTTCTTTTTCCCTTCTTTCTTTTGGCTTTGGCAATGGGGGAGGGGGCCCAGGGCACTCATTTGTTTTTGTAAGAGATATGTTTTATCCCAGGAATTGACATCCAGATTCCAGCCCAGAATTATAATGTATATGAAATCCAATGGACACCAAATTTATCATCAATGGAGACCAGCAAATAGGTAAGCGACTGCCAAATTTTGAAACATAGACAACAAGAGCATTAAATTAGTGACCCTTTTATTAGCTGCACATTCGTAAATTGGAATAAGCATCCAATTGAGACTGCAGAAGAAATCAAAGTGATGACAAGAACCTTGATGCCTTCAATGAAAGTATCATAATTGCTTTAGCAAGACACACTCCTCGATCAATTGCTTCTCACATTACCTTACCCCAGGCCATGAAAGCATATTAAAAAATAAATAAACGTTAAACTCATAAGACCCAATTACTGCACTAAAGCTTTACAAAAGGTAAGAAAAATCTATATTTGACAAATATACAAATGTTAAAGGAAAAAAATTACCAGTCCCTCTGACATCACATCTCGTAGCTTTCCAGGTTTTACATTTGTAATCAGCACAACACGACGATTCTTCACAGGCACAAGCCAAAACCATAGAGAACATCAAAATGTCAGGTCCAAAACTCAATGAACCAAAAAATATGAAGATAAAAGCTAAAAATCAAATAAAGGAAAATCTACATAAGAGCTAACTAAAAGAAATACCGTTAACTCTTCTGGACTGTAATACTTTGCCAATCCACTAACAACCTGTCGCAATTTAGCCTCTCCAACATCTATCTCCTCAACCAGTAGACTGCATTGTTAATAAACCAAACAATCATTCCGCCAATTTTGCTTCTAGACAGCCATGCAGAAAAATTAGATAAACTCAACCATTATGATAATAAGGTCCTTGAAAGTAAAGAACTAGATAAGTTTGTCAACATACCTATCAGCAGATGGATGCTTCCATGCTTTGCGAATAAGACCAACCTGTATATTTAGTAAACTGACACTCAGTTCTTTGTCTTTGTCAGACGCTTCTGTTTCAGGTGTTTTCTTCTTCTCTTGAACAGCTTCCTTATCTCCCTTAGCCTTTTTCTTCAAATTCCCAAATAGCAAAGCAATAAGGTGTAGTCAAAGAATTTTACCATCATGAGAATCTAGATAAAGTCTAGGCATTGATCACAATTCCAGTGTAAGCACCATTAATGTATGAATTCGTAACTTTCCTACGTCTAAACCTCTAAAGAAACTAGTACCTCTTTCTATTTCTATAGGATGTTTGATATCAATCAATCATAAAAAGGCAGCAAAACAATTCTCTTATATAAATTTTCTTATTGCCTAAAAACGTAATAATTAAACCTAAAGACTTGTCATTATGAGTATTATTTAAGCAAGAAATGACTCAAATAAGTTCGCTCAAATGCAGAAGCAATTGCTCAGTGGATAACATCAAGAATATACACGAGAATAGACAAGAAAGGGAAAAATGGTACCCCAGAATCACTTTTCTTCGCATTTACTTCTGCTACTGACTTGTCTGCAATTTTCATGCTTTGAGCATTTAAATCTACTTCTGGCTTAGCTTCAGCTTTTGCTCTCTGCAACCAAATCAACAAAAGAATATCAAGGACTCATATGCTGGCCAAATTTTAAAAATAAATAGCAACTTTCTGTAGTAAAAATAAATGGGGGTTGAGGGGTTGGGGGAATGGTGGAGGGGTTACAGAGGCGAAGAGGTCAAGACCCCTCTTTTCAACAAACATAAAATCACATTTCGCTTGAAGTGAAATTTTTCATTCCTATTCACTTCAAAATCATCTATTATGCTCCACCACAAAATTAGAAACAAAGATCATAGATAGAAAGCAAACAATTTAAAGATAACTTACCTGAGGCTCAAAACCAGGCTTCTCCAGCAATATTTTTTCAAAAAGTGCACCAAGATCCTCTTTGCACTGCAAGAATGATTAAAAAGGGTTTATAAGCAAACATAACAAGGGTAGGAATTAAAATTTCTAAAGAGACCACAAATTGGGAACACCCCTCTCAGGCCCTAAATATCATCTTATAAAACTTGATATGTGTTTTGATAAATTTTTCTAAAATAATTGATAACTTTTAACCAAGAGCACTAAAAAAGTCAATGTCAAGGCCATACCAAATGGTAGCCACAACCTAACTCCAGAAATAAGGTTTCAAGTTTCAATCCCCACTCCCCAACTTGATTATAAAACAGGCCAGTAAAAGTCAGAGAATAAATTGAAGATACATATTCATGATATAAATGTGGCTAAGAGTGTAGTGTCGACTTGGCATCAAAATTATAACATCATATAATTCTCAGTGGCTAAAAATATTGTTGATGAAATATTAAAAGCTTAAGCTAAACTATAGGATAGATTAAACCTCAAGAACGTAAATAGCTGAGGCTGCCCCAAGTGATACCAAGCTGTGTTCAATTACTAAAGCCAGATTTCAGATTCCTGCGTTAAGCTGCAAATGGTTTTTTCTATGTTTCTCCACTAAAAAGAATGCAAACAAATGCAGGATAAATGAAACAATGCCCAGAAACAAGCTGTTACAAGTATCCATTAGGTAGCCAGCATCCACCATTTTCTTCCCATTTTCTTGCATATAACTGAGTTCTCCTGACAACAGGGGACTTATGTCTCTAGTTACAAGTCATGGATGGATGCAGGACTGTAAGTTTGACATCTGATAACTAAGACCTCATTAGAACAATTTTATCTAATTTCTTTATTTCCACAATTCGAATGTTTGTTTTTTTTAAATCTTCTGAATTATAAGATACCAGGCATTCAAGTAGATAAATCTTCTTGGACTAGGTGTTGCTGAGTTTGCTATTGCAGTTGGAAAGCAGCCAAAGGAGAACCATTATAGTGTAAAGCATACAGTGAAATCCTACCTTAAAATGCACCTTCTGATACCTTTATTCATACAATTTAGTCTGCTAGCAGGCTGCAGCCAGAACATGGCCAGCAGATCCACACAGGTTCAAAAGAGCCACACCCCTTAACATTTATTTTGGCTGAAAACATTCATTCTTTTTGCATCTAAACAAAGCTATTGTAACTATAAATACTTGGCTTTCCCAAAAGCAATTGAAAAAACCCAACATATTTTAAATTCAAAAAAACAGAAAATGTCTCTACCTGGATGTAATCCATCCATCGCATCACATGTGGCAATTTATCCTTCTCGGAATTTGACAGGCCAATCTGACAGCAAACAAGTATACCAAGCAATTAGGCTTTCGATATCCCACTAAGGAATCACAGCAAATTTTCTTCATCAAGTATAACAGCAATTTGGAACTAAGATCCTCACTCTGTGAAACACACTGAAAGTTTGAAATATATATATCAAATGCATACCACTGAATTATGAACTGCCGAAAAGACAATAACATCAGCTTCTGAGGGTGTAAATCCATTGCCCAAAAGTACAGACTTTTGAGCCAAGTCAGCATTCAATTCATTTAAAACACCATAGCATGCCTTAGAATCTTTAGGAAAGCTCTCTGCAAAAGCTATCCACTTCACCACCTGCAAGCAAAAATTCAAAATTTGACTTTTCAAATTAAGAACCAAAAGAGAACCTGTTCCGCAAGAGATGCTTAGCAGAGAAAAATTCCAACCCATGTAAGTCATCTTAATTTGATCAATAAGCTTTTCTACCAAGAGGCAAATCATTTCACAAGTGATTTATACAGGTACTTACTTCTCAATGACCTCGGTAGCGCTGCTCTAGGTGTTAAGTTACATATAGATGAATGCTTTCATGCAAAAGGCTAATTATACATTACCTCATCATTGTTTTTTGGTGATTCCTTCCCAGATGACTTCAAAATGTTTAAGTACAAGGTCTTAATATCACTCCCTGGCACTTCACTTGAAAAAGCCTCCTGCAAAATTTAGCAGGAACATAACATAGCCAGCATAATTGCCACATAATCAAAAAACCAGATAAATTAAGTATAGCTCAAAAGATTGCAAATGTAAGCAAAATTTTGCAAAATTGCATAGTTTTTCACAAATTCGAATACATAAAAACCTTTTCCCTCCTTTACATTTAATAAAAGCCTATTAACAGCTTCCTAAGCAGCACTCATCAACCAAAGCTAACATAAGAATAACTGAATTGAAGTAAAACCCATTACATAAAAACAAGTAAAACACAATAAAAACAACTTTTTTAGGCCAAAATGAAAGAGATTTGTCATAAACCACACAAAGGTATACAGATAGAAAATGACATGCAAACATGAAAATGGATGAAAATAAAAAATAGGGTGATGTTTATTTTGCTCACAGGATCCAGAGAGAAGTGTTTGCAAAGAGATGATACTATCAACAGCTTCCTTTTGGGATCATTGTTTCCACTGGCTGCCATGGGTTTTTCCTTTTTTTCCTTTCCCCTTTGAAGTCTAGTTTCTCTTCCAGCACTTAGCAGTTTAAGAAACTGTTACTCTATACCAGGACCTATAGGGTTTTTGTGCTTGAAAGCCTGATGGCATAGTTGGACTCAGCCTGCTTTGATGACAGCTGGGTCTGTGTGAATATGCTGTTGGGTTTTGAGTTGAATAGGCTTACGTTAATGAACTTAGACCTTGTGAAAGATAATTTAGAGCATTTGAGCCCATATTCCACCTTGGCGGACATGATCTTTACTTTGAGAAATTCTTTCCTTGCAATATGTTCTTCAAATTATTGTTTACAAGAAGATTCATTTGTATTCTTTTTGCTAAGGAAGTAGACAAGATTGATCAAATATGAATCTTTAGATGAAAATAAAGTAAGAAAATGAAAGAAAAGGATATGATTATCTTGTTTATGTAGGTGTAATTATAAATATAAAATATCAAGACCATATTGTTAATCAAAAGATAAAATAAACTATCCCGACATTTGATTTGCTTTACGAGTCATGACATTAACATTATATCTACTCGAACATAATACCAAGGGTGCCTTTGAATGAGAAATTTCAAAGAACCAAAATTTCATTTCGGAAAGAGAATTTCGAAATTATAAAATATAATTACTTTTTGTTTGACAAGATAAAAAAATTAGAGAGAGGAAGATAGTGATAAAAAGTACCATCTTACATGCACATGTAGAGTGTAGACATACAACTTATGATATTGATAGGCCAAAATCATTTATTCTTGGATCCCAAAAATAATTTAGGAGTAAGTTTTTTATCTCTATGTACTTATGTTGTACCATTAAGCAACAAAAAAGAAAGTTAGTACCATTTGAGAGTAAATGTCTCGCATTCAAACAAACCTTTGAACTCGAATTTAGATCCAAATAAATCTTTAACCGTCGTAAGATCCAACACCACCTAATTTTTTTTTCACGTAAAATGTAATATAACAATTTATCAAAATCACATGACAATTGATGTGATTAAATACGTGAATTTTTTTTATCACGTCAACTTATCAAATCATATGTTATTTAGATAAAAAATTTTGTCAGCAATAAATCTAAAGATAATTAAATTTTTATTAGAGTTAAAAGTTTGTCGAATCCAAATTGAATCCGTTTAAATGTAGTAAAAAGTGAAAAGTTTAACTTAATAAATGAACATAGTACAAGAACATTTTTTAGGGTTTTTGTATATATTGATTAGCATTAAGTTTGGAAAAAGGAGAACCAAGTAATAAATGTAGAAAAAAAACAAAAGAAATTATATGAAAGTAGGGTTTATTTGGCCCAAAAATTCCCGCCCACCACCAAGTATTGACCAATGCAAATTAAAAAGAGGTAAAAAACAAAAGGTAGAAAACAAAACAAGCATGGAAGAAGGTGTACTCGTTGACTGCCTGTCTTTATTTTTCCCTGGGGATAACCAACATTTAAAGTACTTGGATTTCTCAATTATTAAACCTTGAAGAAGCAAAAACCCTAAAACCCCATTGACAGACTCTGAGAATTTTGCCCCCTTCCTCACATGGAAATTCACTTTCACTCTCTGACTTTGACTCTTGTCACTCTCCTACTCTCTATTTTTCTTTATTTCTTAATTTTTTTTTAATAAATATCACTTTGACGAGTGTGAATAAACACATGTTAACGACGCCCATCAACGTATATCAATAAAATTTGGATTTGGTTAACGAGCGTTTATAGATGTAATTGGCACATAAACAACTCGAACTTAATTCAAATGATAAAGAATTAGGTCTTCGGTTTGGATTCGTTTCGAGTTGTACATTGTATACAAAAATATACATAAATAGTAAGCATAAATTTTAAAAATTTGTCCTTTCTATTAATAATCCTAAAAGAAAAAAAAAACCCATTTATAGGAGGATGTGCAGGTGACAGTAACAAGTCAAGAAAGAAATTCTATGGATTGAAATGTGTAATGCAGAAGAGCAGAGGAGGAGATTCCTCTGCTTTAGCATAAATTCCAAACTTGTTACCAGAATCAACCACATATCTGGAAGTTATACCAAATATATACATGCTTCAGGACAAAAGTGTGCTAGCTAGAGAAGATATGAACAAACCTGCCTCGACACCATCTTGGCCCTTACTCCAAGCTTTCTTTTTAATCTATTGCATGATCAAGTTAGATTGGTAATTCGTGTTTCCAGATATATAATAGTGTCGTGTTTAATGTCACGGATTCCATTAATCAAAGATGTAGTAGGTTTTAGATACATAAATATGAGTTTTCTCTCACTTATTAAGTATGTTTTTTTAATTGAAAATGTAAGCTTGTGATTTATAGATTTACTTAAATTCTAACCCATAACAAGTGGTATTAAAGTAGACTTGAATTTTCACTTATGTGGAGCTCCTATAAAAGATACAAAGATCGAGATAAACCTAAATTAGTGTAAGATTCATTTCCCTTTATAAGTAAAGAGTCGGTGCATCGAGAACGTTGCACAATTGAGTGGATATATAAACATAAGTATTTTAACATCTATCAAATATATTTTTTAGGTTTAGAACATGAGCTTGTGATTTATAAACTTACTTAAATTTTATTTTCAGTTAATACAACAACATCGTTACACAATTGGGTGGAATAGTATGTCACAAATCTTATATCAATAAGAGATGAGAGGAGTCTTTGGTATACAAACATGAATCTTTTCACCACCTATCATGCATGTCTTTTAGGTTAAGAACATAAGCTTGTAATTTATAGGTTTAATTAAATCTTATTTTTAAAGTTTAAGGTTATATGAGATTGGACTTAGATTTCGATCCGTGATATCTAAGTTGAGTATAAAAAATTATACATTTAAATATAAATATGACACAATATATACATACCTTTATTACACATATATGACACAATTAACACATTTATTAAATAAGTAAAATTAAATTTTATACTACACAATTATGACTCTACAAACTCATTTTTAAACACAATTAACTTGTTTAAATGGACTCCATAAAAAAAGTTAAATAGATCATATTATACTAATTGACAAGATAACACAATTAACAAAACATGTTAAACGTGTTTTATGAGAGTTAATCAGATTTGATCTATTTAAGATACAAAATTATCATATGTCATATTCGATGTCTTTAACACGGTATGTGAGCATAAATTTCATATTTAAATCTCAAAAATATTTTTTTACTTTTCCTTTGCTATTTACTAAAAATGTGTGTCGATTATCTCTAATTATATCCATTAATCATTTATTCAAATTATACTTAAAATTCAGATATAATAAAAATAATTGATCATCCATTTGTCTTAAAAAGTAACACATAAAACAAAGTTACTAACCCAATTCTCACAGTTAACTAAACCAAAGTAAAAAAAAAAAAAACAGTGAATTCTCCATCCACCATATGAAATCATTAGGGTTAGTATTTTGATAAAAAAAGGAATTCTCTTTTGACAAATGGGGGGTGGTGACAATGAATTTACCCACACAAAAACAGAAGAGAAGTTTCCTCAATCAAGGTTAAAAAGTGAGCCTAGATAGGGCATATGAAGGTGCATTTAAAGCAAACCCAAAGCAAAACAGTTATGATTATGGAATTGAAGAACTGAGAAGGCAGGATGGGGGCAGGAGAAGAGGAGAGGAGAGCAGAGGAGATGACCCTTTATTTATTTATTTATTTTGTTTTTTTTCTCTGTTTTTTGTTGAATGGAACTTAAGAAAAGCTTAAAAGCAAAAGTTGAGTCCCTCTCAAAACAGCCCCCTCCTCCTGTTGCTGCTGCAGTCTGTAACCCCCCAGCAGCAGCAGCAGCAGCTGCTCACAACACCTCGCCCTTTATTGCACTACCCACCAAGCCACCTACTTGCTTTTATTGCCTTTTGCTTTCTCATTCCGCCTTTTTCCAGCACCCTTTCACTCTTTGTTTCCCCATTATCCCATGCTGCCCTTTCCTTCTCCTTCAATTCACCTCTACTGCCATCACTATCCCTTTTTCTGGTCCCATTTAAAGGACAGCAACCAACTTTTAATCATCAATTTTTTAAAAAAAACAATTTTAAGTTGGAAAAGGATGTAATAATCATAATGGTCATACTAGTTGTAAAGGGTCATTTTATTTAAATTTCAATTTTGATTTTTTGAATAATTTATAAGACGAGAGATGACCGTCTCTTATTATATAGTCTTATACCGTTAAAGAGTACTCAAATTATATCTTATTTCAATGTATCGAAAATCATTGTATTTTTCATCAACTACTGCATTAAAGATTGTTCGTGATACTGGAAATCCACAGTTTATTAATCTAAGCAGTCATAAATCATAATGTTTGCTTGATACCAATTAATTCTAACTATATGGGTGCAATTAATTTTAATGATGAGGAGAGCATGGTGGGAAATTATGAATAAAGTTTAATCATTGTCCCAAACTTTTTAATTGAATTTTTAACATTTAACATGGTAATACCTGATTTCAGTTTTTTGCAATGATGAACAGTTAATGCATGTGGGGGGGACCTCTAATAAATGAGTTCTGTTTTTTTTTTTTCTTGATGTAGTGTAGAATAGGATGGATTCAAATTGAAAAGGCTAATTTAGTAGCCTAATATGTCTTCATGTTTTTTGAGTTTTATTTAGGTAGTTGAGACTACATGAGGTTAATTAGCTCCATTTGTTTGCCATTAATTTTATTTATATTAAAATACTATAAAAGCTCTTGAACTTTTCTATTTTATTTAATTAAATCGCATTATTTTGTTGCACTAAAGTAAATCCCTATCTTATTGTTTGTAACTAAGTAACCTATTTTATTGTTGTAAGTAATGATATGTTTGTTATGTGACCTTAATAGTTATTAGGTCATTGACCAATTGGCATCTTTTGTACACATGGATATTAATTTGAATTTTTTTTACGTAATAAAATTAGTTAAATGAGATATATTATCTTTTAAATATAATTA